TAGAGTTTTTCTTTATATATATTTGCTAAAGTTTCTATGTATGGTTTGTCAAAGCATCTATTACTACCTTGGGATATATAGAATCAAAAGTCTTCTCGAAATCTATGAAGGTGAATACTTGCTGTGTTTCATATTCTTTAGCTCTACTCATTAGTTCTCGAAGTGTATGAATATGATGTATGGTACTAATTCATTTCTGAAGCTCGCTTGTTCTCTCGGCTGTGCAGCATCTAATACTTTTGTTAATGTGTTGTTCATTATCTTCGTGAATATATTGTATACGATTGGTAGTAGACTTATAGGTCTGTAGTTCTTATGAATGAGAATTATGTTTGCTGTATTCGAGTGGTCTGGTATGCATCTCGATCTTAGGCAGTTCGTAAATCTATAAAATGGCAGTGGACGGGACATTTAGCGAGAATAACTGACAACAGGTGGTCCACTAGAATTACACTGACCATACCATCCAAGAGGTGTCAAGAGACCAAGAAGACGTCCAAATTTTAGATGGGACTATGACATAAGGAAACAAGCCAGTACAACATGGCACAGAAAAGCGAATTTTAGACAATCGTGGGCAGATATGAAGAATGAATACGTAAGGAGGCCTACACCATAATCGGTAGAATATGCTGAGAACGATGATGATGATATTTAACTTTTTAAAACACTAATTATTTATTTAACTTATTAAAAAACACTTTATTTGTTACAATTGGAAATAAAATATTAAATTATTTTAAAATAACTACAAAACTGAGTTACGAAGTAACAGCTAAGAGTGGTCTTCGACATCCAAAATACTAATTTTTAAACTGCCTATAAAATGCAACATTGCGGTTCCCATCGGCTGTTTTTCAACGGTCTGTTTAAAGGTCTCCTGCATGTCAGCGGTTTCTATGGAAACTAAATGATGAAATTAGTCCAGTTACTGAGGGTTTTTACCTCCAAATTCTTTATAACTGAATCGATTCATTTGAAATTTTGTGTGTTGGTAAATAATTACTCAAGGAACAAAAGTTATATAGTGCCGATGTGCGCTTCTACCCTGGGGGTGTATGCCGCCCCCTTTTCGAGGATGGAAATTTTTTCACTCAAAATAACCACGCTATTCCATAGAAGGACAAATTTCAAACAAAAAATGTAGTAAACATTTTTTTCGCTAGATCAATACTTTTTGAGTTATTCGCTGTTGAAAAGTGTCATTTTTCGGTAAAAAAAACATGTTTTTCCAAGGTTTTTTAAGAATAGCTCTGAAACTAAGAGTTTTATCAAAAAAAGGGTAACAACTAAAATTAAAGCTTATAAAAAAACAAAAATATTGGCATTTAATGAATATTTTCAGTTCAATATTAACTGAGTTATGGCTGTTCAAAGAAGGTTTGTTTTTGTTTTGTCTTTCAATACGAGTATGTAACGTTAAATATCGGAAAACGGGTACATTTTTCGACAAAAACTCATATAATATTTTTAAAAGAGCTTGAAAATACCTTTAAAATGAGTGGTGGTAAAAGTCCTTTGCATCAACTGTACGTGAGATACGATCAAGAAACGATGGGTTTCTCAAATGTTTGTAAAAAAAAACGCAATAAAACTAACGTCATGTTCACTAGGATTGAAATAAATTGTTTTCCTTATAGAATTCAATTTATTTTAGTGTTTTTTGTATGATCCAAAGATTTAGCCACTTTAGAATACCCAGTTTTTGAAAAAAGTATGATTACATTTTTTTTTGTAAATATTAAAAAAAAACTTTTTTTTCAACAAAAATTTTCATTTTTTATTTTTTTTTTGTAGTTTTAAAAATAACGGAGATATAGTTGTTTTCAATCGTTTTTAACCGAGTTATTGTTTAAAAACCAATAGTACTGTTTAGAATAAAGTTTTTGAGCATGGAAAAATTTTATAATTTGGAGCATTGGATCATTTCGATGGAACTAATAAACATTTAATATATACCGGGTGGTCCAATAAGCCGATCTCTCGGCTATATATCAGAAACTATCCATGTTATAACTTTAGGAGAAAAAATTCCTTAATAAAAGTGGCCAAGAGAAATCGCTGGAAATAACTTTCAAGATTCTGGATTAACCGCTAGGGGGCGTAACCTGCGAAGAAAATTTTGAAAACCAGTTTTTTGGGAAATATGTCCAATTATACCAAGTGCTAAATAAGTAAACTAGAAAGAGGCATAAATTCTGCACAAAGTTGTTCAAGTACTTTTTTTTTATTTTTTCAAATAAAGGGTGGGGGAGAGTGGGAAAGTATTTGTGGATAAATACATATAACTTTGGTTTGGATTAACCGATTTTAACAAAATTAGTGTCATTAGAAAGAGTATGGATGAATTAATTTATATCTACTATAAAATAATTGCATTTAGTTTTAATTGTCGTAGGTAGAGGGTACTTTCGAATAGAAAAAATTAAAATTTGTTTTTCTTCAAAATTTTTAATAGAAACACCTATGTATTGTAAATTATAATGGAACTGGAATAAATTCGTAACAAAATGGCGCAAACCGCATGTTAATAGCTTTTATCGAACTCGAGATATGAATAAAAACGCATAAACATAAGTAAATATAGTATTGACACACCCTGTATTATAAAATAAATTTAAAAATAAGTCAGTAGGTACTTTCAAAATTTTTTATAGCAGAAAACTCTTAATTTGATACCTATTTTGACCATTGTTATTTAATATGATTAAAAATTGTTTTTTCGAAAAACTATTTTGTAAAAAATAGTTTTTTCGAAACTAAGTAGGCTACGACAATAAATTTGACAGGGAGTTCATATTGTTTATTTATTGACAGCAGTCAAAATATTGTTAAGAAGTGTTATATGTATTATAATTCGAATTGAAAATTGCATTTTTTTTCATTAGATATTAATATTGGTAATATTAGTAATTAATTATCAGTACTAATAATTCGTGATGAGTATATCAAATTTTATGATATGCTGGGAGTTTATTTCGAATATCATCAAAATGGCGCTATTGCTTCACGTATATATTCTGTAAGATATCCTGGCAGGAGATATTGTGGCAAAGAAGTAGAGATTTCGGACTACTTATATGTGGATTCTGTTGAATTAAAGCAAGAACATTGATTGAATTATCTTCGGTCATAACTCTACTACGTCGTTTAAAACAAGGACGAGAAAAACTACCAGTTCTTTTTTGCCTTTCTTTCAAATACTTCTTTGCCATAATGTCTCCTGTCACTATATCTTACAAAATATATACGTGAGGTAATAGCGGCATTTTGGTGACATTCGAAATAAACTCCAATCATATCATACAATTTGATATACTCATCACGAATTATTTGTACTGATAATTAATTACTAATATTACCAATCTTTAATTCGAATTATAATATAGCACTTCTTAACAATGTTTTGACTGCTGTAAATAAATAAACAATATGAACTCCCCGTCAAATTCATTGTCGTAGCCTACTTAGTTTCGAAAAAACTATTTTTTACAATATAGGTATCAACATTAAGATTCTTCTGCTATAAAAAAATTTGAAAATACCTACTGACTTATTTTTTAATGTAATTTATAATACAGGGTGTGTCAATACTATACTTACTTATGTTTATGAGTTTTTATTCATATCTCGAGTTCAAAAAAAGCTATTAACATACGGTTTGCTCCATTTTGTTACGAATTTATTCCAGTTCCATTATAATTTACAATAAATAGGTATTTCCATTAAAAATTTTGAAGAAAAACAAATTTTAATTTTTTTTATTTGAAAGTCCCCTCTACCTACGACTATGAAAACTAAATGCAAGTATTTTATAGTAGATGTGAATTAATTCATCCACACTCTTTCTAATGACACTAATTTCATTAAAATCGGTTGGACCAAACCAAAGTTATAGGTATTTATCCACAAATACTTTCCCACTCTCCCCCACCCTTTATTGAAAAAATAAAAAAAGTACTTGAACAACTTTGTGCAGAATTTATACCCCTTTCTAGTTTACTTATTTAACACTTGGTATAATTGGACATATTTCCCAAAAAACTGGTTTTCAAAATTTTCTTCGCAGGTTACGCCCCCTAGCGGTTAATCCAGAATCTTGAAAGTTATTTCCAGCGATTTCTCTTGACCACTTTTATTAAGGAATTTTTTCTCCTAAAGTTATAACATGAATAGTTTCTGATATATAGCTTTTTGTTTAATAAAATGCACTCAAGAAATGTTTCAGACGTATAAAAATATATTAAATTAATTTTTTTAAAAAGGGGTTGGTTGTGAGGGTTGAAATGTTAAAATTATAATAAAAAGTTATTTTATATGCAAAAAATTAATTTTCGTTAAATAACGCACTCAAGAAATGTTTCAAACCGATAAAAATATTTTTTAATTCATTTTTAATTCATTTTTGTCATAAGGGTGGTTGTAAGGGTTGAAAATTTCCAATAAATAAAATATTATTGTATAGCTAGGGTATTAATTTTTGTTTGACTTTTTTTTCATATTATTTTTATAAAAAGTATTAGCTTTTAAGGGTTTTTAAAGGGATTTAAGGGTTGAAAATTGTGAATAATTAATTTTCATATTGGAGAACACATTACAATATTTACCTTATGCGAATAAACAAGATTTAAGTGCATAAAATAATTAAATCCGTGTTTTTCCCAGTTTCTTTAATAAGGGGTAGTTTTCACCCCTTAAAAACAAAAAGCGCACCTAGAGCGTATATAACTTTTGAAGTGGAGGGTAAGATAAGCTTAATTTGAAAATTTCAAAGAAATCGATGCAGTTATAAAAAATTCGGAGGTATTACCATATTTTAAGCCTCAGTAACTGGATTAAATCTGGATTCGGTGAACCTCAGCTAATTGAAGGTTAATAGTTTCTCATATAACATATTATGTTCTGTATAATATCGAATATCCACAAAAATCTTATAACATTCATGTTTTTAGGATGTGTCCTTTGTTCAATGGAATACTTATACATGTTTTTCATTATAGGGCAAAATTACGAAGAGTGTCGAAGAAAAAATAACAGAAATCAAGTCAAGAAACCATGAGGAGGGTTCGCCACTTCACAGACCGAAATCCGATGCCCACAAGCCGGATCTAAAAACGATCGCAGACAGCAAGGAAAATTCTAGCGTGTCGGATTCCGAAGATTTATCCGAGAGTAGTATATCGAAGACTTGTGGCATCGTTTCTACCACAGAAGGTTAGTATTTTTTATAAATTAAGACAAGAGAAAAATATTTTTCATTGAAATTAAAATTTAATGTTTATTTTTTTAATATACTACCCAAGAAAATTAACACATCTTTGCTTTTGTTCGAAATAATTTATATACCCCTCTGCGGAAGAGAATTTTACCGAATTATGCGCCATATTTAAACATTTTCGTGTTACCGGTATTACAGGAAGAGATATTATCGAGAATCATATGGTTTTATCATGCGGAATAGGTACCGTCCTATCCTCCTGTGACGAGCTATGACGAGTCACATGAAAATTCTTATATTCTCACAAAATTATACGACAAATCATACAGTGTACACATGTAAATTTCACTCCATGACCAAATCATATGACAAATCACATGATAAATCATGTAGTGTAAGGAAGAGCGCCCACCAAAATGGCATGGCAAGTAGCAAGTAGCACGCTGCTAGCATGTTACATAAAATGTAACCAATACAAACGAATGATTAGAATGAATGACGTCACTGTCATTTTGGTAAGCGCTGAATCATTAGTTTTCATTGCTTACATTTTAAGTAACATGCTAGACGCGCGTTACTTGCTACTTACCCTGGGAGAGCGCACGCCAAACTGACATGGCAAGTAGCAAGTAGCGCGCGTCTAGCATGTTATTTAAAATGTAATCAATGAAAACGAATGATTCAGCGCACACCAAAATGACAGTGACAGTGGCGTCATGCAGCTTGCTATGCCACGTCATTAAAAATAGAGCTTATTATACTTTTTGCCACGTGCTACGTGGCAAAACACGTGTACTTGAACACAAGTCAGTCATTCAAAGTTATTCATCAATAACTTTTTTGATTAGCCGATCTGTTTAATTCTTTAATGGCTAAAATGACATGTTTTTATTTTTAAGCCCAATTTTTTTCTAGATATTTTAAACATGACCAGACTTATAGAGTTTTGTCTAGACCAGAGTGATACCTCACAAGCCGGTGTAAAACTAATCCGTTTAACCTAAAATTGAGCCAATATATTTGTAATAACTCATTTATCTGACATTGTAGTTAAAAAGAAGCTGCATAAATAACTTTCGTTCTAAAAAAATGTTGTTAGCTGGTATTTTAAAACCACGATCTAGGAGGAGAAAAGCTTTGTCTGTTATAACAGTAAGAAAAACTTGCATTTTGATTTTCTCTGGCTACGGTTTAGGTTCAGGAAGATCAAAGGCCCGTTTGCGTTAACGACAGCTAAAAATACAATAAAAAACATCCCTTGTACTTAAAGTATGCTGGCCCAGATTTCGGAAGCCTTTAAACCTGATATATTTTTCATTAATAAAGTCACAGGAATTAACCAAATTCCAAAGTTCTCAGTATCTACTCGCTGTTTTAAGCCATAATTCCCTTTTAATGGTTTGTTCAGATATTTTGGCTGGAGTACTGTCCAAATTTCGCCGGACACACATTTAATTCTTTAAATACAATAAATCCACTATGCCCTTGAATCTCTTTCCAATAAGGGTGTAACCAAAACTGACGTTGCGGACAAGTTTTGTTCTATTATTCTATGCTACTTTAGTGTGCGCTACCTGCCACGCGTGTGCCATGCCCGTGCTAAGTCGACTTAAGTCCCACTACACACATCTGATTCATTGCTTGTAACAATATGTTTTGAATCATCTCAAGTAGTTCCATATTTTTTTTACATCTCTTATCACATTTTAAAAGGTAACGATAAGATAAATATTTTTCTTATTGCCTCGTAGTATGCGAATGCTCCATGTTCATTTACTTCGTTTTTTCAGGTGTGGAAATGTCTAGTGACGAAGACACTCCATCGTTAGAAAAAGATAAGAAAGACGAAAAATATCTCTCTGTTACGCCCTCTAGCTTTAAACACAAATTTCGATTTTTTAAAAAGACACATCATGAAGAAGGAACGATCAAAACCAACGACTTATCCAAATTGTACAACATTAACACCGAAAACATAGAACAGGCTCTACCAGAAGATTCGGAGGGGGTAGAAAATGCCGTTGATGCGCTCGAAGAATCTAACCTCAAGCCTGAGCCGTCACCTGTTAAAATTTCGAATGAGGAAATCTTGAAAACAGTTGCTCAGAAAATCAATAATGTAGAGATCGACAGTGAGAATGTGATTCATGTTAAAGAAGTGCAAGGTACTGATATTAGGGAAAAGTATTTTGATTGTAAAGATGAGGAGAAAATTGTTTTCGCGCCTACAGGTTTCGTGGATTTGCGTCCTATTGCAACTACGAATCGTCCATTTTATAATTATTTGTAAGTATAATATTTCATATTATTATATTATTAATTATACAGTTTCATCCAACAGGATTATACATTATGACAAATCAAGGAAAGGAAAAGAAAAGTATTTTTCAAGTGTGTAAATATTTATTTCCTAGCTAAGCGCTTTCTGCTTACAAGCCATCTTCAGAGCTAAGCGACTATAAATCAATGATATAAATAACTAATTTAAAGTTTATAATATTTCACTAGGAGAGAATCTCATTTGGTAGATAAATACAGAAATTTTCCTTTAAGCTGTTTTTGTGTTAAAGTATTTCATTGAAAAACACACAAAAACGACTGTACACCAGACTCCGCAAAAACACATTAAAAAAATTGGTTATGGTACGTGTGTCAGAACCCGACCATTTGTTGAAGTTGAAGCAGCCGATAGAATGGGGGGAGTCAAATTCCAGCCTTTTAAATGATCCTTGAGGTAAAAGTGGCAATTATCGTATATCACACATGGAAAATTAAGATTATTAAATTGTCAAAAAATTGTTGAATTGAAATTCATAATAAAAGAAGAAATTTATCGAAGACTGTCTAAAATTAAGTTTTATAAATTTTGGTTTGCATAGCATCATAATGAATATGTTGAAAATTGACTAAAGGTCAAAGTAGGTTCAATCGACAAGTTATCCTCATAACAAATTATTTACACATAAAAAATTAACTAGATTGTAACATTTCTAAGTATGATACTTAAGTGTATTAAAAATTTGTATCTCTTGATTGGAATTTTAGGTTAAAACTGGATTTATAGTTTGACTGTAAACGTAGACGCACTGGAAAAAAATCAATTTAGAATTTTGTATACTCTTATTTATAAATGAACGTAAACGCATGACGGAACACGGAACGTAAGTGAAAGGAACTGAAACGAAAGAGTTGGCCAACTTTCATCTCTTACATTGTGTTACTTGCGTCTGACCAATCAAAAGGAAGAATTTTATGCTGTCAACCAAAGTGAACTGTCCGACCCTGGACGGTACGTTAATAATTTATAAAATGATAATAATAAATAATAAAAGGATCTCATAGTATAATTTCAATATTTCAGATAAATATGAGTTGTTAATTAGCCTAATGCGGGGTTATAATATTACAATAAACAATAGTATAAATTAATAAACACACACAGTTTGTTTATGAGTCGTATAATTTATAGGTTATGTTGATTATCGGTTAATGTTTTATACCTAAGAGGTGGAGGCCATAAAACGAAAAAAGAAGAAGAACTCATTCATGGTGATCAACTCTTGCCACTGTTTTCACTCATGCGCAAAAATTCCACTATGTCGATTTATAAATTGAATTAAATATTTACAGTCCGTTTGTCCGTCAAACTATAAATCCAGCTTAAGAATTTTAAGTAAAAATTTGAAATTTTTTCTTGTTTTAATGAAGTCATTGTCATCTGTCAAATAATTGATTAAAATAATTGTTATAAATTAGTAATTGGATTTAAAATTAGAATGCTTGAGGTCACTCTTCTTCCTCAAAAGTCTCCCGCAATAATTTAAAAAGAGGTTTATTATTGCATTTAAGATTGATTTGTGTATTTTGTGTAAGCAACAATTAGGGTTCAGTTCTATTACTTTCGATATCTTAAAGTCTTCTAAAAGGTTCGTCAGCCTAAAATTTTTATTTGGGATGTTATGTAAAATTTTATTGTTTTTGGTAGGAGAAAAGGAATTATTATTAAATTTAATGTGATGTCCAAAATTTGATTTATCTGTGTTATTGAGATGTTCTTTGATTCTGTGAGCCAGTGTTCCCATTGTTCTGTACACGTAAGTGTAAGTCATGACAATCACCATAAAGACAGTTTTACATTATGCTATTTTCATGCAAGGCAAGAGCTTGCATGGGCTTGCACAGATCATGGAACTGCGCATGCCCACGGGCTATTTCCATGCAATTCCTGTGCTAGACGAAAAATTAGAACATGTTCTATTTTTCATGCTATTTTCTTGCAATTTATCGTTAAAATTCATGTTGCCAACATAATAATTTATAATAGATTACAGAATAAAACATAACCTTATCTCTATCTTTAGCGTCCCTTAGCCCACATGTGTATTGTTGTGTTTTGATTTAAATTAAGTTTATTAAGTGGTGATAAATAGATATACTATGTCTAAAGTTAATGTAAAAACGACTGGGTGAGTCGTTGACTATGGATGATTGTTGCTACAACAGCAATATTCAACAATAACAATGTTTTCTTTTCTTTGGTTGACATCCTTCACCCTTTTAATAACCACAAATAGTGTATATTTATTTATTATATTATTTATTTTAGTACTTAATTATATTTATTTAAAATAACCTCAAATTGATACATATTTTCTCTGTTGGCAACAATGAAAGTGGGATCTAAAATTGCACAGAAATATCTCTGATGTAAAAAGGTCAAGCTAGGCAAGAGATGTGCCATGCAAGACGGACTTTCATAGCATGAGACTTGCATAGCCTAGATGTAAAGCTGCCTTAAGACAATTTGTAAAAACCACTTTTGTTTTGTTTATCAATTTTGTCCTTAGTTTTGCTAAAAATGGATTTAATGTTCTGTTTGGTTTTGAAAGAGATGTTTAAGTTACTGATTGTATTGCAAAGTAGTCTTGACATTTTTTCTGAAATTGGTCCTAAATAAGATAAGGATCTAGAAATTGATGTAGTGCTGGGTTTGTTTTCCACATTAAAAGCTTGGTTTAGTCTCTTTTTGAGTATTCGAGAAATTTCTACTTTCATTATGAATACCAATTCAACACTTTTTTCTGCTCTTTTAACTCCAACAAATGGTCGAGTTCTGACACCCGTACCATAACCAAATTTTTTCTACCAAATGAGATCTCTCCTAGTAGTGACTTTTAAAAAACTGACGAAGTGAAACATTGTGAACTTTAAACTAGTTATTTATATCAATGGTCGATTGTAGCATAGCTCTGAAGACGGTTTTGTAAGCCAAAAACGCTTAGCGAGGAAATCAATGTTTATACACTTCAAACCACTTATCTTTTCCATTCTTTGATTTACAATTTTTCATACATGTCGTAAATAAACCGTCTTAAATTAATTTTTACTAAAAATTGACGACACTTCGATATAACCTCAAAAAAATTCTTAAACTGTTTACTATAAACGCAAATATAAATCCGTCGTGTTTTACGATAGTTTTTAGTCGTTTGTTATTACTAAAACGCCATAATTTTTCGTTTTAAAGTTTGATTACAACTACAGTTCTTCATAAAATAAATAATCATATGCTAGTACTTAAAATAATTGCGAAACAATTGAACCGCTCAGAGCCAGAGTGGCAAGTCAAAAAAATTAAAAATTTAACTTATACCACTTTTTCACCACTTCATAATCTAGTTTATGTTATCACCGCATGAGGCTCGCAGATGTTTTTAGTAGAAATTGAGTCTGTGTTTTTGCAAGCAGAGTGGTACAAGTCTACTAATAAAGGGATATAAGCTACGAGCATAGATGCTTAGACAATTCTTAACAAAAAAAAGTATTCGTTGACTCAGACACGTGGTTCGAGGTTTTACCTCTCGTCAATCGTCTTCTACTTTCATTTTAATGTCCTATGTGCAAAAGATTGTGTTTTGCAAGGGTGATCTGTAGATGTATTGTCGGATTAAAAGTTTATTTCTAACATCTTCCCATAGCTTGAATTCGCAATTCACCTCATTCATCTTCTTCTTTGTGTGCTTGTATTCAAGCGTTGGCTATCGTCATATTGACAAGCTGATGAAATGATTCTCGGTCGGCAGTTAGATGAAACAGTTCCTCAACCGTTCGACCTGTCCATTGTCTAATGTTACGCAGCCAGGACAGTTGTATTCTTCCGACCCAACGTTTTCCTTCGATTTTGCCCTGAATGATTAACCGGTGTAAGCGATATTTAGGTCCTCTCATTATATGACCGAAGTATTGGACGTTTCTCATTTTGATGATGTTGATCAATTCTCGCTCTTTGTGCACGGTCTCTAGCACAAGTTCGTTAGATATGTGTGCTGTCCTAATTCATATATTACCGCAATATACATGTATGTTATGTTATTATAACTGAACCTTTAAAAATCATACGAACAAGCTGAATTTTGTCGAGAATATTAAATATTAATTTTGGGACCCCAAAAAGATGCAAAAAGGTCTACCACTTTTAACTCCGGGATTTCCCCTAGAACTCCCCTCGAAGGGGGGTAAAAACACAAAAAAAATCGATTAACCAAGAATCTGTACACCGTAGAAAAAAATGTTTCAAATAAAAAATAGTAGCTGAGATAATTTTAAACAAACATGTTTATAAGCATTTTTGTGTATAATGAATCGTTCTCTTAGAAACAACGTTTGAAGTGACCGTCGATCTTACATGTCAGTTCATGATCAATACCATCTGTCCCTTTCATTGACTGGTCACTATGAAGTTTCGATTGCTAGATCGTATAACCTTTAAATCGTATAACATGGAATTTTAGTTTTGAGTTTTGGCAACAAATGTGAGGCTAAAAACGCTGGAGTTAAACTTTCCACCAGTACGTCTCTCAAAAAACATCTGCAATAAACTACAACAGGACAGGAATAAAGAAAGCTGAGCAACTATTTAGAATAGCTCGAGACAGAGACAGTTTTGCCATGTTAATCGCCAACATCAAGAGGACTTGATAGGGCACGTTAAGAAGAATAAACTACACCTAAAACCGTCTTCTTAAATGCATTTCCTGCGACGTGTGATCGTTTGTAATGTAAAACAATAAATGTTGCGTTTTTTATTCATATTTCAAATGCCTCATATTTGTTACTACAACTCAAAATTGAAATTTCATGTCGTAGGTTTTAACAGTTGATCTCTAAAAATGGAAATTTTACTACAACTGGTCAATGAAAGTTATCAATTTTATTGATTTCACGCGAATCGTAAAAAATGGCAAAAATCGCGCCACTTTAATTTATTTAACGCCTTTATAAAAACTGAATTTATTCTCGGCAAAATACAAAAACTGCATACGAAATTTGTACTCTTTGCCTTTAAAACACATCCTGATTTTTGTCGATAGGACATTTAGATCAAAAGATATCGGATTTTTACTTTAGACCTGATACAAATTTTATTGAACATTGATTTCACGCGCGTAACTGACATGCAAAATAGACGGTCGCTTCAAGTGTTGTTTCTAAGAGAACAGTTTATTCTACACAAAAAATGCTTATATTATAAACAGTTTTATTTAAAATTATCACAGCTCATTTTTTATTGGAAATATTTTTCTCTACGGTGCGGTGTATAGATTCTTGCTGCATCTTTATTATTTAAATCTAAATGTAGTATTTGATGATCGTCTTTTAGGTTTTACAACGTGCAGAACTTTTTATAAAGAGTAAATTTTTTTAATAAAACTCAAAATAAAAAAGTTTCCCTATGGTGCGAACTTAATTCACCTACCACAGAGTTATATGGAAATAAAAAAGTATTTTAATGTTTCAGATCCGTACTAGTCCTACTGGCATCCATCCTTGTTTACAGCATAATACAGTATTATTCACCATATTCTGCCGGATTAGTGTCGGGAGTGTTTCTTGTTACTATATTTTTAAAAGTTTATTTCAAATTGTATCCCAGAAGTACGGAACAACCAGTATCCACAATGCCAATGCTGTCGAATAAGATATACGAAGTACAAGCTGTTAAAGAGTACCAACCGGTTGAGAAGTATGAGGTAAGATCTTTAAATAACCAAAAACGTGTGAAGTAATAGCTCCCTCAGGAAATAATGTACTGTAATATAATGTTTTGTCTGTTCCAAAATTCTCGTTATTGTAATGTTTTTTTGTGTGTAATAATCTTACATCTTATTTTTTTTTTCATAAAAGTTTTTATGATTAGAATATCCTGCTTAACTGTCCCATTTAAATGATACATTGTGTACATTCACTTTTTATGGCTTTATGGATACATTAGTCCAGAAATAGTTATAGAGTTGTTCAAGTTTTCTGCAATCATTTTTTTGTCGTTTACATTTGTTACTAGTCATAATTCACAAATCTACAATTTAAATCTGCAAACCTTTTAACCTAACTACTTATATAAGAATTTTCCATTGGTTCGTCAAGTTTTTCCTAAAATTCTGTAACAATATGATATGTTAAGTTTGTTTTCACTATCACTCACCTAAACAAAAACACCAATTCAAATGTTTTCTTCCTTATGAGGTTTCTTTTATTATCAAAGAGCTGCAGTGTCTTTTCATTGCTGTTGGAGTGGAATCGCCTCTCGTGCTTCAAATTTTGTAGCAAAGAAAATATTTTTTAGTTTTTCCGAAAATATAGCAAGTTGTTGCTTAAAAAACTGTTGAAAAACGAATTATCAAGGATGTTAATAGGTCACATTAACATAAATAATAACATAAATCATACATAAATCTGTACGAAATGTATATATATATATATATATATATATATATATATATATATATATATATAGAATTTTTCATATAAAAAAATGATTGCACGTCATTCAAGATTTACGACGTAAGACCCCCACAGCGTTGCCAAAATATCACAATAGTTAGTAAGTGAGGAATTTTTAAAATGTCAACTATTTGTCAAACTATTATATTAACAGTATACGCTTAGTTTTAAGACTACTGCAACACACTAAAATACATAAGAAAACATTTTATTATAAAATTATATATTTTAAATTTTATACTTGCCTCTAGGGATGTGTAGTGTGTAGTTCACCATCGAAATACGGTTCACTGCGAACGATTTGCATTATAAATTATGTCTCGACTTCTAAAGAAGAAAATAATGAATGAATGAATTAGAACATATATTTATTATTTTGTGAATGGATGGACTAACTAGTTTAAAAAAAATGCCGATTAGCCTCAGATAACAGATTCATAATTCTTATGAATGTGACAATACCATAAGGTCTTATCTTAATGTCATAATGGTTCGGATCTTATGCCCATGTATTGGCTTGGATGTTGCCATGCTGTGTTGTTTCTTGTATTGTAATTTTGAAATAAAAATTTTAGTTATGGTTAAAATGATTGAGGCATTTACATAAAATATAATTTTATGTAAAAGTGAGAATGAAAATGTGTTATGTTCCTAGAAAATTCACTGATTTTTTTTTGTAAAGGTTCTTTTAGAAATAACCTAATTATAAATACCTATGAGTTTAAATATACGTAAATATAAAAATAACTTGAACCATATTCATATTTAAAACGGTTAATAAAAAACAAATCTTAATAATTTTTTGCAAATAAAAACTAACTAATCATATAATAATTTAAACCATTTAAACCTAAACATACGATCGAAAGAAATAGTTCCGAACTACTTGTACGGTAGTGAACTAGTGAAAGACTGACTAAAAGAAAGAAATAGTTCCGAACTACTTGTACGATAGTGAACTAGTGAAAGACTGACTAAAAAGCGAAGTAAAAGGGCGGCCAGCGCCGAGCTTCTGTGATGATTGAGACGAGACATCTGGCAACCAGTTCTGTTAGGGTTGGATTTCGATGTCGGTCCTACAAATAGTTCTTTCGCGAACTAGTTCACTGAACTAGTTCATTTTTGTGAAATAGTTCTGTTGAACTAGTTCGTCTAAAAGAACTATAGATAAATTCACATTCAGATGGCAGCGTTACAGAGATAGGCCTGTACTTTCTATATGAGAGAAATAACTACATTGTTGTCAGTTTTTAATCGTACCTTCACTCGTACGTTATGGGCCGGCTCCTATAAAAGAATTATAATTTCGGAAATATTTATGAATGTGAAACGGAAAAATACTACATTTTTTTAATTATATAATTTTAATTAATTTAAAGAGATGGACGGAGATCTATTTGAAAAATGGTTTGAAGAGATGTTAATACCGAATCTCCCAAAGAATAAAAAGAATGTCATTATCTTGGACAATGCATCTTATCACTCTAGGAAATTAAATTTTCCCAAACAATATTGGGTGAAACGTCAAATTAAGGAGTGGCTCTATGAAAAGGACATTTATTTTGAAGAAGATTACTTAAAAAATGAACTTCTGGAAACTGCTAATGTATTTAAAAATATTTATGACAAATACAAAATTGATTGTATTGGTGAAAAATACAGGAATCACAGTGACGAACAATGCCGCGTAGATGTACATATCTTAAGACTTCCGCCTTATCACTGTGAACTGAACCCAATAGAAATGGTGTGGAGTGAAGTGAAACGGTACGTGTCCTCTAAGAATTCAAGTTTCAAACAAAACGACGTTAAAACATTGATTTATGAAGGTTATGATAAAGTACAAAACAATGGACATTGGAAAAATTACGTCAACCATGTTATAAAATTGGAGAATAATTTTTGGACAGTAGACAACATTCAAGATGACATTGAACCTATTAGAATTTCATTAAACGATGACTCTGAAGATGAACTAGATTATGAAAATGAAGATGATTGAAAATTGTTTTTCGGGGGTATTCTTTTCTCAGTAAAGGTAATAAAATATTTAGTTGATCTGGTTGAAATGTAGCACACTTAAATAACTCATTAATCGACATAATTTCAAGTAGTTATATTAGACGTCATTATGCAAAAAATAAAGTTATGAACATTTAATAAATTAGTGCACAATTGAGGCCCCTAGAACACAAGGGGTGTAAGTGCCAAAAACAAAGTTTTGAAAAATCTTTGTTCAAAGTTCGATATAAATTTAAAAACCTAGGTAGCACTTTTTCAGTTTTCAGCATGTTTTCAATGACATGTAATTTTTGATGGTGTTATTGTTGTTAATGTAGAAAGTTTGAAGCCAAAAGTACGTGCCTGTTGTTAGATATCAGTTGCTAAGTGATAAGCAACTGCACTTACACCCTTGTGTTCTAGGGGCCTCAATTAGGAGTTTTTTGCAATTATCTCAGTCATTTGTTTATGTATTTTAATTTACAAACTAAAAAATTAAAAAACTTTTTAAGATCTGCAACATTTATTTGAAACATTTTTCCCTAAAATGCACGAGGAACAAAATAGGCAAAAAAATGATTTTTTCCAAACTTCATCTTTCTTTAAAAAATAAACAAAGCAAAATTGGCTGTAATTCTTCAAGGAATTATCATCAGCTATCCCTTATCTACCGTTTAGAACATTAAAAAACCTGTAGAATATTTTTCATATTTTTTTCCCTATTAACTGCGGTAGGTATTATGTATAAAAGCATTTTAGGAATTATTACCATTTATTTCATTCACGAATTTTCTATTAACAACTTTAGCTTACCTAAACATATCTTAGTTTACCGTGAGTTTGGCCCTGCTTATTTTACAAAAGTAGCAAAACTTACAATGGCAGTAGAATTGGCAACGCTGTTATCCTATATCCGTACACTGCCATCTGAACGTGACATCTATAATAAACAGACCTCTACTTGCCTCTTTTAGAGCATTAATAGTAAAAACGGCCCGCCATTATTTCTTGTTCAAAATAATCTATCTTATATGAAAGTTTATCAGCTTTCTACAGACTATTTAGTTGTATTGGCATAGCACAATTACAATACACAACAATAATTAGTTTTTAAAGCTATTAAGCTAAATTTAATATGCATTTATAAATACAATTTATTAATATATAATATATTATGATCAAATTGTGTGAGAAATCAAAAAATAAACAAAATTCTTACTCTAGAAAAGCGGCAACACGTTCAACAATTTTGCCACACGCTGAACTGTCATTAAAATTTGATGTATTCCCATATCAGTTGCGTACAATTGTCTAATCTATTTAATTAAAATTATTATTTTGTGGAATATTAGTCTTAAAAAGATATTTAATAAAATTTATAATATTAATAATAACAAATGTTTTTGGTTATTTAACATAATTCTAAAATTACCAATATACATAATTATGATTACATTTTTCTGATTATTATACCACGTTGACGCTTACGAAAGTTCGAGCAGTTCCGTATGGGTTTGGTATTATTAGCTGTGTTAGAAAAATTTGAACTAAGGTTGAAGATCTGGTAATTTTAAATATAATTTACTTTATATAAATTGTGACGTGCAATGTTTTTACTTTGAAAAATGATCTGTCTTCTTCAGATATACTGTCTCTTTCTTAATTTTGCATTGGTGACCATTTTTTGTTTCCTCTTGTATTAGAACTTAGGCTCCCTTTACATTGTATTCATATTCCAGTAACCTTTTGTAGATCTTTAATATTATAGGAACTGTCAGAAATTATTAAAGTTAAAATATATTATTTTTCTTCCTCAGCTTTTCCCGTTTGAGGGGTCGCTGTTCCTTACTATTCGCATTCACCACTCATTTCTGTCCATTCATGTCCATGCTGCACCTAAAGCTTTCTCTTAAGTCCTTTGTCACAGTTTTTCCTTCTTTTCCTTGGTTTTTCTCTACATCTTCCATGAACTTCTAACAGAAGTAGTAAACTAAAAAAAGTAAAGAAGTAACTAAAAAAAGTAGCATTGTGTGGCAGATTGAGGATAAATAAAATTTTTATTCAAAAAGACTCTGGAACTGGTGCAAGATTTCCTATCTAATTTTTTCATCAATATTCTTGCCATTTCTCGTATCTACATCGTCCGAATCATTGCTTGAACTACACTGTATTATCGTCTGCAACATGTAGCAAATATTTTATTTTTATTAATTATATTAATTATTTTTATTAAAATTTATGTGTGAAAAAACTACGTTTGAGTCTTACGTAGAAATAAAAAAAGCTAATATTCCATCATAATTTGGAAATTGTTTGATTGAGAGATGGCATTCGTATTCACCCAATTATTTTATAAAAATATTGGCAGAAAAGGATATTAGTAGCTATATTGTCCCAATAAAACACTGAAAACTAGTGAAAACACGCAAATAAAAATTTGTGGAAGTGTTGAAAACAAAAGTTTTCAGTGTTTTATTGTTTGATAATATGGTAAATACTTAGAATCATAGGTTGAAGCTTTAAACAGTGCCGGCTGTAAGCTTTGGTTCTAGAACGATTAAAAAACGCTTCGACTTAATATCATTAATTTCCGTGAACTTTTTAAATAACTGAGTAATTTATTAATGTTTTAGGGTTGGCTAAATGAATATCCTGATATATACAACCACGAAACTTATCATATATCCAGGACCCAGTCAGTATTCTTAAGGTTACAAGGTAATCTACTAAGAATCAGTCACGCTAAAAATAAAGTAGCGAAACGGGCTATGTGGAACGAATCAGAGATCAAGGCAAATTTCACCCAGCACAGGATATACAATATGTTGGGTGCAAAGGTGTGTTTGTTACCAGAAGGGTTAGCTAAAATAAGGTAAGAATAAAATTATGCGATGATTTTTTATTTTTATTGAATTTTATCTGCAGTAAAACCATTATCAGGCACAGATAGAAGGGAGCGATCAAAGTGGCTTAAAACCGACAACGTTGCCGAGAATTATTAATGGTATCGAATCATAAATTTATTAAATTTTAGCCTTCGAAACGAACATTTTACATGATCCAAAACATGTGAGAATTATATAATATCACTGAACAACTAGCTAGCAAAAGATATGTCACCCACCAACCAATTGTAAAAATCAATACTGATAAAGATATAATATCGACATAGGAAGAAGTCAAAAAATGACAGGAATATTCCAGTGAGTCTCTAAGGGCAGTCAGAACATTACTAGAAGAGGCGCAGTGAATTAACACCAATGCACCAACAATGTAAGAAATAGCAATGTCTATAAAAAAAACTGAAAGTGCACAAAGTAGCTAGCCCAAGCACAATAACAAGGCTAATCAAACCACTTTTGCAAAGGGCCCGGAGAGAGGAGAAGTTCCCCAAAGAATAGAAAACCGGACTTATAATAAAAATACCAGATAAGGGTGACAAAAGATATTGCAAAACTGCAGAAGAAGTACACTTCACACCATAAACTGTTTATGAAAACTGTTTATGAAAGTAAATAATCTAATCTTTACTATGAAATAACTCCTATGCAGTATCGATGAGTGGAGAACAACTAAAAATATCCGTTTATATTGAAAATTATACAAAACAATGAATTAATTTTGATTGAAGTTCTAGAAGGGTAATGTTTTAAAAATTGGTTCAATATTCAGCACTTACTTTCATCTGGCATTTTCATAACTGCCTCTTTACAAAAATCAGTTGAGTTATAAAAATAAAGAAATAGCAAATCATACAAAAGTGTAATAGGTGACAGGTGACAAGTGACAGGTGTCAAATTTGTTTGGTTAGATTATTTGGGGAGGGGATATTGCCAGATGATGTCACATATAACTACCTGCTTGGGAATAAGAATCGGTCAGAAATGCTATACCTTATTCCATTAAGCGATGCAGGGCATATAAACAACGATAAATTTAACAGATAATTGTTAAAGATGTTCCAAATGAGTCTACTCGTTCCGATAAGTAACAGTATAATTGTGACACTTTATTATTTTTTATCTTTTCTCAAATATTCGTGTTTATTGCATAGCAAATAAATTAATGTTATCACTGAATACATAGTAAGTGAAAAAATAAACCGATTTATAAAATTAATGAATATTTTATGCATAAATGCAAGTAACAGTTCTTCAAAAATATTTAAAAACTAAGCGAAATGTCCATCTTTATTTCGTCTGCCGACGTTTTCGGTAGCTCATACCGGTTTGGACACGATTTAATGTTTACATCTTCCTGCATCGCTTAATGAATTTTACTATAGTTTTTGAAATTTTCGTTTTGGCCAACTTTTTATGTAAAATACGTGCGTCGATCGGAACTATAGAGATGTGAAATTCCCCACCTCCTACCGATACCATGGTAGCTAAGTCATTTGCTATGTAAGATCCCTACTAGAACACACTCATCACGGGTCAAGTTCCTTGTAGCGTGTTCCATCTCCACCAAACAACAAAAAAAATTGCGAACTGCTTTGAAACTTTCACTAACTTTCTATCTAATAACTTTCACACCAAACCACTTTTTGACTGTTAACAATTTACATCTATCAAATTGTTAATTTCTCATAGCCTACTTTAGGCTTGTTTATTAACCTAAACCGAAAATGAGGATTTATTGTTGAAAAACGTGGCTAGTTGTTAAAGTACCTAACTTTTTTATTATCCAACATAAGCGAATAAATAAAAAAAATTTAAGAAAACCTGAATTTTAGTATCTTATAAATACTAGAATATCCACAGGGTGTTGCGAACTTTGAGAGAAAAAAACAATGTCTGATTAGTGCACCCTGTAAACAATCACAATTTACCTGTCTGGTAACAATATTATAATAGCTATTTTGTTAAGAGTAAGGCTATAATATATTAAAAAAATCACTTAAATCGGACAACAAGTTTAGAAAATTCAAGACAAGAGAAATGCCCCATGTTTAAGGTGGTGCGTTAATTTTGCTGCTTAGTGTATATTTGTATATATAAGATCAAATTTGGTAGTAATTAAATTGGTCGTTACTCTCTATCATTATTTGGTCTCAAACATAATTTTTTTCTGTTTCCTCAAAAAGAACTTTCGGGTCAATATTCCTGGAATTTGCAAAGACCTGATGTGTTTAAAAATCCATATTTTGGAGTTAATTGGTTCGTAATATAAACGGTAGAAGAAAAATATTTTTATGTTTGTCTCAAAACTAATGATTGTAATTATCTAGGTATTTGCTTTAAATTCTTACAATGCTCATATTTTGTTTGTAGACATTGGAGCAAAAAATACCCAATCTGTATTACTTTAGCCAAAGATCAATTATGTTTCGATCAAGAACTTTTATCGAAGATGGAAGCCGACTTACAGAAAGACACTGAAAGCGATAATACTCGTTCCACAGACAAGGGTAAACTGTTCACTTCATCAGGTAGGGAGAAAAAGGGATTCAACAAGTTCAGGAAGAAAGAGTACCCCATTTTGGTAAGTTTTTCATGTTGCATTTTTTTTTAATCTAGACATTTTTCGTATTTCTTCTTTTTATCTTCTGCCTTTTCCAATGCCTTCATCCCACAACTGTGACTTTCAATTTTTTTATTATTTTTTTTTCTAGTTGTTCTAGGGCCTCCCGTGCAGCTAAGTGTATACTTTCTCTAATGTATTGATAGTGTGCTTCTACGCTATAACAAGATATGTTTCTCCTGTAGGTTTTCATCTATTCGTCTATTGTACAACCACTTTCTTCTTCGTCGTCTATGATAGCGGTAATTTTTTTTTGTATGGACATAATTATGTCTTTGCTTCATGTAGGTAGCGGTTGTTATTACACGTTGGTTCCCTAAGCAGTCTTACCTTTTGAAATTTTAGATTTAAGATATTTTACTACTATGAATTATCGATTTTTGTTCTCTTCTATTATTTGCCACGAATATTTATGTTTTTCTTTATGTTGGAAGTGCCTATTTAACACTTTAAGTTGTTTTGGGTGCTTTCGACTTCTTCTAAAGATGCCTATATTCTAGTGTTGTTGGCAACCACATTGACCCATCTTATTCTATTCATAGCAGCTCGAAATAGATTAGTTCACATTAGATCAGTCAATTTCGCAAGATTGGCCAGCCAAGATATACGTCTACATCCAGGGCCTCTCTTGTCCTCAATCTTGTCTTGTAGAATCATCTGTAGAAGTCAGTATTTATTATTACGCATAATGTGGCCGAAGTGAGCCAATTTTGTATTTTTTATGGTGTTAATAATTTTAATACTAAGGTTTCGTTGCTCATTCCCGGCGGTTCCAATGAGGGTGGGTAAGGATATGACTGATAGAAAGTTAAAAGATAAATGACAATTAGATAACAGTTTGACAAAAGTAAAACCAGAATTATTGAATACAGCTAAACCGCAAAGCTTAGGGCGTCAATAAATCTTAACCTTATACAGGATTAACCTTATACAGAGACTTATACAGGTTTCAAAATTCTCAGTAAACATATTATTAGGTAAGAAAAACTAAACTAAAATTAACATGTTTACCTATATGCTGCAAAACAATTTTTTATCTTCAATAAAGTAGTACACTTCAAAAAATGTATTTATTAAATACTCAAAAAATGTAAGGCCACATATTAAAATCAATTAACTTATTACTAAACAGATTGTAATGGTAGTTGGTCTGTGATAAAATTGAAACAAAAGATTATTTGAAGTTTTTAAACTTTTGAATTAGTTACTATGTAAAATTTACAAAAAAAAAAAGATAAATAAAAGACCCCAGACTGGAATCTTTCAAACCCAAAAACGCTTTTTAGGACACATAACGTTTTTGTAATTATTAAAAAAAATTCATAACTCTCAATAAATACGAAATTAATCATATACTTTAATTTAAATACATAAAATTCTCAAAAAACGTCTTTGTCATAAAAAAAATAAATACGAATTCAATAATATATTGGGTTATACAAATTTTCCCTAATGCCCACTTAAAAACAAATAATCTCTTTAAATGGTTTAAACACACTATTGGAGCCATTAACCCCTGGAGACCATCTGTTAACGCAAAAAAAGGAAGATATCGACCCCTGAACCAGGTCAAGTTCCTTTCATGCTTCGTCGGAAAAAGACGATGAAAAAGGAAGATTTATGGAAAAAGGAAGTTGATGGATACACCTACTCAATGCCAACCCTAGAGAAAGAACCCTATGAAGATAAGAAAATAGAAACTACTTCTATAGTTTATATTTAAACGATTGGGGTTAAAAAAATTAAACTTACCAAATATGTACGTGGGTCTTTCACTAAGGAACTGTAAATTTACGTCTGCAGACATTGCGACAGTAAACTATGAAATATAAGCGGTCGCCCGGCTAGTTAAAATTTGAGTGGTAGTACAGACATTTTTATTAGGTACTTTGCAGAAAAGAGATTATTTCCATGGAAAATGTGACGATATTTCTACATAAATACACCCAGACGAATTTAGTGGCATGGGAACTGAAGTACTATATTCTTAGACTTAATAAAAACAGTCTACTAGTAGTTGTAATGGGTACAGCCCTCACCAAAATTTTAAATTAAAAAAATATAAAATGCTAAAATATTAATATAAAGTTTTTCTCCATTGTCATTGGTTGCTTCTTCACCATACTTGCTTTTAATTTTATCATTTCTATTTATTCCTATCCTTGCGTTAAAGTCTCCTAACAGTAATAGTTCTGTTATCCCTATAAATTATTTTATTAGTTAGTTGTTAATAGCATCTCTTTCGTACCAACTGGTTCGTAATCTTTTACTCCATAAATTCAGTGTTGTAATTTGGGTTCCAAACGTACACATTTATCTTAATTATACTTTCGTTAAATTCTTATACCATTTTTTTAAATTATGATAACCCTGTCCCTTTTTCTTGGTTTCTGTTATTAGTAGATCAATTTGTTATTTATAGCTTCGAGAATATTGAATTGCAGCGTTGGCAGCAAAATAATCGAAAATATTGCATACCATAGTGACAACTAAATGTTCGGAAAATTCAAGAAATTACTACTTTAATATGGGGTTACATCGTCACGTGCCTTTATAACCGCAGCAATTCTATATAGTATTGGTCGTACTAAGGATTTACACAAGTCAGGGTCGAAACTATCCTATAATTCACCTAATTTACTCTTCAAATCGACGACGGTTCTCTGGAAATCATTACGCAATTTCTGTTTCAACTTAAGTCACAATGTCGCAATAAAATTAAGGTCGGAATTACACGAAGGCCATGAGAGCACTTAATGTTATTGTCTCCAAACTATTTTTAGGTGTTTAATCTGAACGGCATGCAGCACCGTCCTGCTGGAATATAAAATTCACGTTCGCGTAGAGATCGTGAGCACTTAGTAAAAGACTATTTTTCAAAATTTCTTGGTGCTGTAATTGCTGCGTTAATTGTACTTTCCACCACCTCATATTTTTCTACACCAGCTGATGACACGCACCCCCATATTATGCTTTATTTCTACTTGGAGTATGGAGTTGGAGTTTTACTTGGATGGAGTTTAACCCTTAAATGCATGATTTTTTTTATGTATGTCAAATATCAAAAAAGGCCTTTAGCGGAAGTTTAGAAATAATGAAAAAATTAATTTTACATGAAAACTATAGAAATAATTAATATTTTTATTTAAACACAGTGCCACACTACATTTCTGACATTTTGTATGTGTAAACCCCTTATAATTGGGATATTTACACCGTCGTTTGTTATCTTCTATAGTCGGCCAGTGCCCATATTGGTCCCTCCTAATATCTTTGGGGGGAATGTACTGAGCTGATCCTCTCTTTTTCTTGTCTTGTATGTCAGCTTACAATGTACTTGGTCTCACTCTTTTTGCTGTGGACGATGCATTCTATAATATAGAATCAGATGTAAATATTCTGTGTCAGAGATTCTTGAGTGCACACTGTAGCAAAACGGCAACAAGTCTGCAGTTGGACCGTTTGGTCTAGGAAACCGGAACGATCGGGGGGGAGATACGTTGGAGAATTTTTCGGAAGCAAATCAATTGGTAATAATGAATACCTGGTTTAAGCTACACCCAAGAAAACTGTACATCTGGAAATCTCCACAGGACTCTGTGGAAAGGATTGTAAGAAATCAGATTGATTACATACTAGTAAATAAGAGGTACATCAACAGCTGTACATCTGTCAAAACATACCCGGGGGCAGACATAAATTCCGATCATGTACCAGTTGTAGGTAATTTCAAAGTCAGAATGAAGAAGGTTACAACTAAGTTGATGAAGAAATATGATGTTAGAAAACTGAAAGATCCCAATGTTTGACTGAAGGAGTGTGAAAACCTCAATACAAAGGTGCTAAAATGCAAAAATGCAGAAACTATAGAGGAAAGCCTGACCATCATACAATAAACAGTGAGAGATAAAAAAACAACGCCTGAAAAAAGATACAGAGAAACGGAAATCGTAGATGACCGATGAAATACTTGAACTCATGGATCAGAGAGAAAAAAACAAAGAAAATCTCCACGAATATAAGGGTTACATACCATCATCAGAAGAAAAATAAGAGAAGCCAAAGAGAAACAAAAAACAGAACAATGTCAAGAAATAGAGGAGTATCAGAGTCGATATGGTAACTTCAATGTTCATCGAAAGGTGAAGAAAGTAGTTGGAAAGTTCCGAAAACGCAACAGCGGAAAAATAACAGATGATGAAGGAAATCTTGCCATAACCAGGGAAGATAAAAAGAAAGTATGGGAAGAATACTTGGAGAAGCTTTTCCATGACCTTAGAACAATACAAGAGCCACCATTGAAGAAAATTCAGGTCCCGAACTCCTACCAGGGATGAAAATATTTAATGAAATATACAAGGCAGGAAAAATACCAGTAGAGTGGCTCAAATCGGAGTTCCTACCATTGCTCAAAAAACCAGGAGCAAAAGTTTGTGAAGATTATATGACCATAAGCCTAATGAGCCATCTGCTGAAACTGTTTTTAAAAGTCATCCACAAAAGAATTTACCGGAAATGCGAGGAACAAATTGAGCCCAATCAGTTTGGATTTTTGAACGCCATTGGTACGAGGGAAGCTTTATTTAGCATGTAGATATTGTTTCAGAAATGTAGAGATGTCAGCTGTAATGTTTTTGCATGACTGATTGACTACAAGAAGGCTTTCGATAGAGTCAGACATGAACAAATGATGAAAGTGCTGAAGAGGACAGGTATTGACGGAAAAGACTTAAAAACAATAGCTAACCTGTATTGGAATCAATTAGCGGTACTCCGAATAGATGGAGAATATACAGATCAGGTTAAAGTCTGAAGGGACGTGAAACAGGGATGCATAATTTCACCACTGATATTTAATCTGTACTCAGAGCACATTTTTGAAGAGGCTCTAAAAGATATTGATGAAGGTATCTCAAGAAATGGAGTCAAGCTCAATAACCTGCGGTATGCAGATGATACAATAGTGTTTTCCAATACAATAGAAGGGCTGCAAAACTTAATGAACAAAATAACGAAAAAATGTACAAAATATGGACTGGATATAAACACCAGCAAAACCAAGCTAATGATCATCAGGAAGGAAAACATAACTGGAGCAAATCTGTATGTGAACCAAATGAGAATTGAACTAGTCTCACAATACAACTACTTGGAAACTATAGTCAATGAGTCGTGGGACAATACCCAAGAGATTAAATATCGCATCGGAAAGCAAATAGTGCATTCTTGACTATGAGTTCTGTGTTCAAGAGCCATGACCTCACCCTAGAAACAAAAATAAGGCTCCATATATGTTATGTGTACTCAGTGCTTCCGTACGGAGTAGAAACGTGGACATTGAAGGCGGAAACTCTATCAAAACTTTTGGCTTTTGAGCTGTGGTCATACAGAAGGATCTTAAAGATACCATGGACAGACAAAGTCACCAATGAAGAAGTGCTGCGGAGGATGAACATAACTGCGGATTTGGTCAACATCGTTAAGGGTCGTAAGCTGCAGTACTTGGGCCATATAATGAGAAATCAAGGCAGATAGATACGAGCTACTTCAATGCATTTTACAAGGTAAAAAGGGCCCCAGGACGAAGAAGAATATCCTGACTTGCTAACCTGAGAGCATGGTATAGAAAGACCTGAACACAGCTATTTCGTATAGCAACCAACATAGTCATCATAGCCAGAATAATCGCCAACGTTCGGAACGGACAGGCACTCTAAGAAGAAGAACTTCACCCCATATATTCGAATTGTTGTACTTTTCTAACAAATTTTTTTTCTAATTTTCCTGATATGTTGTTTTCTGTTGATTAGTAGGTGTTAATTAATGCATGAGGTTAGCGGTTATAAAAGATAGCTTTAGCAGGTATGATGAGATTTTTAATTCAAACCTATGACTACAGTCTTTCCAGTGTCCTCAATATAAATTTTTCTGTGTAGACACTATAATGACTAACCGTCAAAATATTTTTTAGGCGCAGAGGTTTAGTAAATTAACAGAAGGTGAAGAATTCGATCTAGATTCAGATTCCAGGGCTAGTACACCATCAGCTGATATCTCGGTAAAACATGTCATTTGCAATTTTGTACACTGTTCAACATTTCTTTTGCATTTCAGGATATAGCTGATTCCCCTGCCCTAGAAGATGAAGAACTCTTAAATACAAAGGACGATAAAAACGGAGAAAATGGAGAGGAAACAAATAGTTTGATTGATGAATCTTCAACTCCTCCACAAGACGTAAGTTTCATTTAATTATTTTTAAATTATATCGAATTTTATGTTCATCTTTCAGACAAGCGAAATAAAAATTTATTTGTTTGGACGAACCGACAGAGAGAAAGAAGACTGGTATAGGAGATTGTGTACCTCTACTCATAGGGAATTAGGCTTATCTTCCTTAGATTGTAGTACCCCCGATTCCAAAGATAATCCTCTCTCGAGTCATATAGAAACTACTGAGTCCGAATTGGAATATTTAAGATATATGAGCGCCTTTAAGGTAATAACAATTTTTAAGAGCCAAATCAGTAATGATTATATTAATTTTTCTCTCGTAGCCTTCCAGAAAGCAGACCAAGTCTCCCAAAGAAAACGAAAAAGGCGACACCGAACAAAATTCAGACACAGAGGATCATAGAGAAGATAGTATTCTATGGCTCAACGCCCTCATTGGCCGAGTCCTTTTCGACTGTGTCAGAAACGACAGTTTTATTGATAAAGTCAAAGATCGAATACAGAGGAAGTTATCGACGATAAAACTCCCCTACTTCATAGAGGAACTTCTCGTTCCAGAGCTCTCTTTAGGAAAAACCTCACCGGTTATTAGGCGGACCAGTAAACCTGTGATGGACGAGAGAGGACTGTGGATAGACTTGGATATAATATATGACGGACTGATTGTACTTGCTTTACAGACTAAACTTAATTTGATGAGACTGAAAAACCCGCAAGCTTATGGTAAGTGAATATTCTTATACGCAACTTATCACTTGATTCCTTGTTTGGAAAAAGCTAATGACCTTAGACCCAGGCCATTTCGTAATTCATTCCTTTGACGAAAATACGAAATTTTTTAATCAAAAAGTATGATCACTTGACAGTGATTTATTACTGTCTTCCCTCATTATCAAATACAGTTTATATTGTAAATAATATTTGTCTTTGTCAAGTAAACATTGATTTTTATTGATCTCAGTTGAGATCTTGATACATAAATCTCTGTCGTTGTATAATTTAACCACATACAGCCTAACACATTCGTTGTTGATATTTCCAGACAAATCTGCTATAGTTAAATGTGCTATATACCACTCCGATGTCGATGATTCTGCCGAAAGCAGTACAGATGAGGAAGGACTGCATGAGCTACCCAATACTCCTCAAGATACCACAACAGGAAGTCATGGCAAGAAAAATCTGATGAAGATGGTAGATCGGTTGGCTGAATCGAAGTTTTTCCAAGCGGCTACCGAGAATCGGTACATTAAGAAGGCCATGGAAGGTTAGTTTCCTTTTTAAAGTTTTATATTTTCTAAGAGAATTGTGGTAATAATTAGTTAAGGTTAAGCTACGGTTTGTTAGAACAGTGCGCAGCGCACAGCATACATGTACAGCAGAATCGGTTTGTTAGATTAATTCGCATAAATATTTTGTCGCTCTGAAAACAAGTTTAGAAATTAGTTTTACGTTTATTCTCTTAAAGGTTGTACGTTAAAAAAAATGAATTCTCGTAAACTTAACGCATATTACTCCAAGAAGAGGAGGAAGAAGAAGAATGTATAACGTTAAATTTAAGTAAAAGAAATAAAAATGTATAAGAAATTTTTTCATGTCTGAATACAGAAGGTGCTTTTAACAGTCGAAGAAAGATTGTTTCAAAACAAAATTTCGAGCAATTTGTACTAGATCTACTAGTCTTTCATTTTCCTCGGGAAGATCACTTAATTGATTAGACATCATAATATTAATTAATAAAAACTATATAAAAATACAATTATAATTTCGGTATAGATGTGTACGCTGTGAGCTCAGCTGAACGTTTGCGTCCAAATCATGACCTTGGAACATTCCCCATCTCTTTGACCCCAGGCCGTTAATAAAGAGAAATGATAGCCTATCTCTCTCACGAAGACTTTTACCAATCATTTATTTTAACACTGTGAGTTACTCACTGTTACTGACTGTGAGTTAAGCGTCGTTCACTGTTCTAACAAACCATAGCTTTAAGTTTCTTTACATTATAACACCAGTTTTGAATAGATACAAAGTGTTATGTGTGATGTAAACTATATGTTTTAATTAAATTGAATAAAAATTACTCAAAAGAAAGACAAGGCTGTCGGCCTAATAGGCCATTTCACACTGTGACCTGAATTTTTTATATACTCTTATCCATATGGCCTAGACTACTATTCGTTTCAGAGCTACGTTTTTACCTGGTCAGGTTCCAAAACGTCCTATTCCAGGTATTTTTCAGATATTCAAAAATATAATATCTGAGTGAGCATTGTCCAGTGAAAACTTGGGTGCTTACTCGTAGTTCAGTTCTCTGAAACTATCAAGAGCAGTTCTGCGTAACAAGCAGGTTTTAATAACATTTGTACTTTTCTTTGGTGTAGAATATTTCATCAGTGGATTGCATAAGTTAACTAACCTAAACAGTAATTACACCAGTGGTCATATATAGATGTGAAATGTGGACCTTTTCAATCAGTGATGAAAATCAATTGAGAATATTTGAACGCAAAATATTGAGAAAGATATTTGGACCAACCCACTGTATCAATGGTTCGAGGAGAATAAAAATGAACTATGAGCTTGATGAATTAATGTAGAGCATAGATATCGTTAGATTTGTAAAATCGCAAAGACTAAACTGGCTTGGCCACTTACAAAGATTGCAGGTAATCGAGCTCTAAAAGTAATCCAGAGATGGAAACCCAAAAGAAATAAGAAAAAGAAAAAAGAAAAGAAAAGAGGACAAGAAAAAGGTCTCGTAAAAGGTGGATAGACGATGTCAAGGGAGATCTACTGACTGCGGACACTCTGTGTGGACATGAACCCATGAACATCAGGCATTGGTGAAGGGACGTATGCTACAGGGCAGAATAGAAGAACGTTGTTAAGCAGGCCAACACCCAGAAAGGGTTGTAGCGCCATTAGAAGAAGAAGAAGAGGTCGCATAAGTTAATGCATACTGTTTCTGCTCCAATAAAAGAGGTACTAGATAGATAGATAAATAGAAATAGGGCGGCAAAGGCAAAGACTAACCTAACACACTGCCACCTTTGCAGATCTATTCTTTCCTTCCATTTATCATTAAAGCTTCTCATTTAACCGGGCTTTTTGATGAAATTCAATTACATTGAGAGTAGTCTCTGCCTACAGCCTTATGCGTCTGGTTTTTTTTCTTTCTGAGTTATAGATATCGCAGTTTTTCAAAGCATTCGCAGTGGTATAGACATACGATGCAGCCTCCTGATTAATTGGGAAAATCTGCAAAAAGTTTCTGTGACAAAATTGTTTGAGTATGAGTATAGGGTGTCAGCAGTTAATAGCCTTAATATTATCTTAATGACCTATCGGCTATGGCTTAGTAGGTCGACTCTAAATTTTGCTGAATATCTCTTGATAAATTCTTTAGCCTCAGTGTTCTGGACCGACTAGTGGAGTGCATTCTTTCTCGGGTCAGTTAATCAATCTTTTCTTTGTCGCGAAAGTACCTATAGTCTACTACCCTAACTAGTTGTTCCGAGAATCTGCCTAAATATTAACAGAGGCTATTTTTCGAAAGCCATGTTCTTAGAATTTAAAACGTAAACAACCGACGTCACAGATCACGGGAATTATTATGCATCGGAAACAGGTTAGATCTAATAAACGGCAGTATCTTGTCCTTTTTTGGGGCGTACACACGTTGTCGTTTCCGCTAATATTCGATTTGAGAGTCGAGAAGTGGCTTTCACCGTTGGGAGTTGTACGAATGTTGTTATACTAGTTATCTCGAAATGAGAATCGTGGTTTTTATCGATGAAATATGTTCGCAATTAGTTGGAGAATAGTAATAGTTCATCTATGGTAACTCGTACCAGTACCATACATTATAATTTGAAGTATTTGTAATAGTGTAAAAATTAGCTAAGAGTGCCGTATTCATACAAGAATAAATTCTAGTGTTTATAAGTGCTACAACCTGTGGTTCAACAACGAAAGAAGACCATTCCAGTTTTAACATGGCTCAGGACAGGAGTTGGTAGATATAAAAACATTTTGACATTTTATTTGAATTCTGAACTATTTCGTCATGGTATATAGTGTTTACTGACTTCATATTGCGGTACAAAATTGTGCTAAATTAATATTTGTATAAGGTCCATGCTTTTAGTATTAGCGTTTATTCAGAAATAAAATCTGTATTTACTATACTCAACTTTTTATTCTAATTTATATTAAAAAAGGATTAGACAAACTTACCACCCGGGACGGGGTGTGATTAAAATCAAGCGTTGGTGAAATTAATACAGTCCATTAGGGGTCATTCGGACGCCTCTTAGTTCATGATAATAAGGCATATAGCCCTCATTAGTCATTTTGGTCATTCTAGCCGGATATAAAAAAATATAAGAGTTTGAGGTAAATACAGGTTTTATATCAATTTTCGATTTATATTTGTTTTGAAATATTTGTGGGTAACATGGATGAACTAACAGCTCGCTCCAATAAAAAATTGGTAAAGCAAACATTACCCGTGTACAAACTTGGATTAGGGATCACTTAGATCAAGTTAATAGTAAATTCGCAATAACTGTCAAATTAGATATGCTTAAAGAAGCATATCGAGATTTTAACGAAGCTTACAAATACTTAGAAGCTAATTTGATAGATGAAAATTTGTTAGAAATGCGGGAAGATACGGACACTGTGTATATGGAGTGTTTCGATATCTTAAGTACAAAAATAGAGCTGTTGGGAAAATCTAGTTCAAATTTAGAAGCGGTAAGCCCAAATATAGTAAAAAATATCTCGCCGGTAGCGGTTAGACTTCCGGAATTTTCAATACAACCATTTTCGGGTAAAATAACAGAATGGGATTCGTTTTTTCAAATTTTTGAGAATTCGTTTACAAAACGATTCTTTGTCGGATATTCAGAAACTCATGTATTTGAAATCGTATGTTCGTGGTGAACCGGCTAAATTAATTTCGAATTTTCCGGTTATAGCTGAAAATTTGCAATTGGCTTTGGATATTTTAATAGAGAGGTATGGAAACAAACATATCTTAACAAAAACATTATTTTTAGAACTTCTCGATGTTAAAACTGTTATGGAATACTATGCGTTTATTTCTTCTCCGGACTAACTCTTTGTTTTGGAATTAAACAGAATATATTGACATGTATAAATTTATTATATTAGAGGATGAAAATTACACTGCCTGTTATTTCTTAAAACTATGAATTTATAAGTTCTGTTATCTACAATTATTTAACGATGTTTCTGGATGGATTTGAGTACAAGAGATTGGACTCAAATATTAATATTAAAATAGCAAATACGGATAGCTTATCGAACAAAGAAATAAGAGAAATAAATTATTATTATTCCATAGATACGAAGTATTAGGCGAATAAACTAGCGAAACTTATTTATTCTAAATAGGAAAATATTTATGAAGAGTATTGATTCTGATTTCTAACAGCAAATAATTATTAGTGATTATACATGAGAACTTTTCATAATTGTAAATAACATATACCAGGTGACTAAAAACTATATAGAAATACATAGATACTTTAATTATCTTACATGTGAGTAGGTAGGTACATTACACCTCCTTTTGTAAGAATGAAAATAATTGTAAAATGAATTTTCATTTAAATGGTATAAAACATTTGTATACATTATTATTTTATTTTAACACATTTAAATAGTTTCTTTTAGTCTCGATAGTCTTTCACTTCGTCTTATCGGTGTAGTCTCTGTGAAACTAGTCTCTTCACACTTTTTGGATTCACTATAATTATTGTCTTTATTATGTTTACAATCTATACTTAAATCTGTCTCATGTACATGTTTTCGTTTACTTTGACATATATTTAGTGTTAAACAATTTGTAATTTGTTGACAACTATGTGACGGATTTCTACGAAATCGTCGGTAAAAATATTTAATTATCCTGTATAAAATATAAAGTAACATACATTTTATCAAAAATAAGATTGCATAAGTGAAATAAGAACTATTTTTTATTGTGTCTGAAAAATTAATATTTGTTTCTGAGGTCATTTTCTCTAAATTATCTAGTTTATGGCTTGCTAAATTTAATGCATCTCGATCGAGATTATTTAATTGTAAGGGAACAAGGTGTAATTTGGATTCATTATTTATCTTAATATCATCACAACAGACTTCTGGAAGGGATAAATCTGGAATGATAGACTGAAAATTACTTTCTTTTGGATTTGAGACAGATATCAAAATAGTTGATCCGGTGTAAGTTTT